TGCGATGTCGAACACGGCAACAACTGTGGCAACTGCATATATATTTGCGATGTCGTACACGGCAACAACTGTGGTAATAGCATATATATTTGCGATGTCGTACACGGCAACAACTGTGGCAATAGCATATATATTTGCGATGTCGTACACGGCAACAACTGTGGTAATAGCATATATATTTGCGATGTCGTACACGGCAACAACTGTGGCAATAGCATATATATTTGCGATGTCGTACACGGCAACAACTGTGGTAATAGCATATATATTTGCGATGTCGTACACGGCAACAACTGTGGTAATAGCATATATATTTGCGATGTCGTACACGGCAACAACTGTGGTAATAGCATATATATTTGCGATGTCGTACACGGCAACAACTGTGGTAATAGCATATATATTTGCGATGTCGTACACGGCAACAACTGTGGTAATAGCATATATATTTGCGATGTCGTACACGGCAACAACTGTGGTAATAGCATATATATTTGCGATGTCGTACACGGCAACAACTGTGGCAATAGCATATATATTTGCGATGTCGTACACGGCAACAACTGTGGTAATAGCATATATATTTGCGATGTCGTACACGGCAACAACTGTGGTAATAGCATATATATTTGCGATGTCGTGCACGGCAACAGCTGTGGCAACAGCATAGATATTTGCAATGTCGTGCACGGCAACAACTGTGGCAACATCATAGATATTTGCGATGTCGTGCACAACACCTGTGGCAACAGCATAGATATATGCAATGGCGTGCACGTCCACAGCTGCATATATATCTAAGTACGACGAAGTACGATAACAGAGAAATCATGACAGCGATTTCGTTGATGGCACAGCTGCAGTAAGAGTAGAGTAGTCATCAGCGGTGCCGTGCACGACAATAGCTCTTCGTATCACCCTCAATGTCGCCAGTTGCTTGTCACTACAATGACTCTAATCAATGGCTATGAAGACAGGATCGTATGACGATAAAACTGCTGTGTTTCCATCCTCCCTGAAGGAAGAAACATTCAACCCTCGACTGGCTAGTGACGTGAATCCATACACTGCTAATTGGATTTAAATATAGGGTTGGGCATTAGAGCCACTTACGCATCAATAAGCCATCCGTTCTTCCGCTGGCCACTGTTATATGTTTAGCTCATCGTCTTCTTTCTGTCTTCCCATATTCAAATAATAGCTACCTACCGCATGTATTGATCTTTGTGTGACGTCGGCGGGTGACGTCGCTATATAAGGGCAGTGTTGCCGGAGTAGTAGTTGTAGCCCATGTGGCCGGCGAGACAGTCGAGATGTCACACAGGGTCAGATTCAACGTCTTGGAAAAGCCCAATCCAGCACCCACCGAGGAAGGTACATCACAGCGTGTGTTTCACAACTGTCCGATTGTGGTCGCAAGACGTCAAACAGCAATGTGTATAGCCGAGTGGTAGTTCATCTTCAAGGAGCTTATGTTCATGAAAGCGATGGATTGGTATTCTTGTATCGGAATTTGTAAGACCGGATCAAAGTGGAAGAGTTGTGTTTTTCTTAAAACCTCTTTGATATCAGTGAAGGTTTATAAGGGCCGACATTTCCTAAACTGGTTTTTTTTGTGACGGATAGTTGGTTCTGTTTTAGTGAAAGTTCAACTTCTTTAAACTCTGTTGGAAATCGTAGGATGTCATGTAACCCCCTCACAAATGAACCTAGCGGCAACAGAATCCAAACGGTGACCTTTGCAACTACGTTTAACTCTGGATCACGACCTGGAAGTAATGGATATTTTGCAGTTCAAATAATGCCAGCCGACGACAGAAAAAACTTCTTATTTTTCTTGTTCCGATCGGCATACTGACATGAGTCAAATTACTGGCCTCATCATCAAGTATCTGATGAGCCCGGTCCTCTTGTATGGTGGGTTATGAGACGTGGTGATGCTATCGGCTCAGTTGATATGACAACCCGGCCAATAAAAGACAATGTGGTTGACAGGTGGTGTGTACGCCAGGCAATACCACTGTTATGTATTGGACGTTGAGCCCATTATCGGCGTGTTACCTACCGTGGGTGGAACTGGTGGTAGAATATCGGGTTTATTCGGTGTATTATGGAATTATCCCCGAGGTCGGAGTGATGATTGCTCTGTAAATACTGCTTGATTGTTGGGAAGAGCAGTTCAATATTTGGGTATATGTAATACATGTCTCTAGAATTTGACTTTTCAGATACAGTAGCCTTCATTCAGTTTAGTTGCCAATGTTGAGATAAATAACGCTCCTTTATTGAGAGTTTCCTGTTTTGTTCACTCGGCATCAAGCCACGTGAGGACGCGAAACTCGCGGAATTTAGTGATTGCAATTCTGAAGAGGTTTTTCTTGAGTGGGCACTACCAAAGCATTCAGAACGTGTCTTAAAGTACATCATCATATATTGATGGTTGTATTGCATTATCCGGTGAGAGGTTTGTCAATCGTTGCAGGGCGTGATGGAAGGTTGTATCTCTCAAATCATTACTCATCGACGTCTTGGTGGTTGTCCTTGGTGACACGCCCGCCACACTTGTAAGCGTCGAGTGAACCATCTTGCCATGGTTCTTCCGTCTAGTGCTATACCTACCTCAACCATGTCACGGTATGTACTTGTGGTGTTGTTGGAGACAAGCCCCACCCACTTAAGATGTCGGGCCCGGGGACGGCCATTCATACCACTTATACCACTGAAACGCCGTCGTATGCATTAGTATTGTAATATTGAAGTCCTAGGGTTCAATATAAGTACATCCACTCCATCTGGCCTGGACATATCTCGAAGCTATTGTCGACCGTGCTAAGACCTCAGTAATACCAGAGATTAATTCTGTATCTCAACACCAGCCTTGACCCCGCGCACCTCTTTACTAATCCACAACCTTTCCTGTAACACATGCCACTCGTTATTACGAGAAGGCTATTCTATGTAACACGTACTCCCTCGTTATTACGCCCCCTCCCCTCTTGCATGTGACACGTGACTCCATTGAGGTTCTTAAGAGCAGATCAATGTCCACAAATAATTCCGGCGATCACGATTTCTCTGAGGTGTTATTTTTGCCAATTCCGTTTTGGTAAATCGATTTCATTTGTTCGGCCCTTCCATATCTTGTGAGATATTCGTATGATTGAGGAGACGCTGAGTACGGTACACACCCGCACGATTAGCTACTTCATAGGTTATTGGACAGAGTGTACTCGGCGTTCTCAGGCCTTGTAATCGGATGTATTAACAGCCCAGCCGTACACGCGTTCATTATAATCCAGTATCAATCATAAATATATGGTACGACCATGTAAGAGAATTTAAAGTTCACGATTGACGTTTGTTGCCAAAATCCAGCCTAATGACGTCAACGTGGGTTCACAACGTGTCTGCGCTATGCTTGCTTGCGTGTGGAAATATTATTTATAATTTATGTAACGCCATGGAAACAGAAACGCAGGATTGGGCTCAACTAATCAACTAATCATCAAGTGACGATGAACACAGAATCACGCGATGACAGACCCGTGAAGATCCGCATACGGAATAGGTCTTCAGTAACCAAAGCTTGCCGTATAAGCCGACTTTGCTTGTCGTAAGAGGCGACTAACGGGATCGGGTGGCCTCGCTCTCTGACGTGGCTGATGCATTGCACCCAATTGTGTAGATCGATGCTCATGATATCAATCTCTGGATTGTCTGGTCCAGACTTGTTAAACAACAAATAAACAAAAATTAAAACGCGATAGCATGTGACAAGGAGCAAAACGTCACGTAGCGGCGCATTGCGTCCGAATACTTCTTTCTTTGCAATTCGTCGCGCTCTGTTGTTCATGTTTTCGATATATTACATATTTTAGCTTGAAAAACGTGTGTATCTTTGTCAGTAATACTCGTTTATTTTTTAAATATTGATACTGTTGACTTAAAGTCCTTTCGTCGGAAAGATATTCATTCAACTGGAGTTTATCGAACTTGATAATGACGATGCATTCATTTGTTCAGCCAGGGTTCCTTGCTTTAAAGTCAGTAGTCTTTGTGATATAATTGGCAGACAAAGAACTCTGTGCTCTGCAACAGGCCCGGATGATTGGGTGATGAACGGCTGGTATTCTACTCTGCTCTAAGTGGCTGTCACATGCATCTTCTTAAGAAGGTACATTATGGGCAAGAACAACACGCAATGACCACGCCGACTACCGATACGGTCGCAGCGCCCAGCACATGAAGCATGCCACGACGGTGAACACAACCATTTTGTGACGTCGATGCTGACTGGAATTCGCTATCGAAGATTACAAGATTTAGACTATTGCTAACAGTCTTACGTCAATGGAGTCATGTTATTTTCGGATTATGGCAATTCCGCTATGATTGCAGCTCATCTTTGAAACGTAAATTTAGAAATTGGAGGCTCCTGCACTGGTTTCTTGAGAATCTTCAATGATTAGAAAGACATAAAGTTTGTTTGATATTCTAAATCGATAAGCGTTATACTTCTTAGAGCCGAAGGGGATTTCCTGTGCTTTGAAAATATTCCTTCGTACATTTTCCTCAACAAAGCATTTTCTGATAAATGATAAAAGCTCTTGTAGAATGTGTCCTTTGTCATGGGAATTCATCGATTTCTCGGCATGTGCGAAGGCTTGGCAAGAATGTCACGTGTTGTTATATATTTGCAACATTGTATCGGCACATCGATGTAAATATAAGGCTCCACTCTCACAGAACCACCCTTTGAATTTGCCCATCAATCGAAATTCTTGATTGCCTTATCCAGGTTAAAATTGAATGTAAACAGAGGGAATGCAAACAGGCTTTGTATTGTCTTATTCAGGTTCCAGGTAATCACGCTATTAGAACTGCTAACAGTGCGAGCCCTGACTGTGTTTTCTATTGTGTTTTTTAGGCTCCTCTTATGACCCTTTTTAATGACTTCGCTTGACTTAATGAGTCTAAACTCCGTGCATTTCTTTTTACAGAACTCAAACAAGCTTTTGACCTGTTTGACAAGAACAACGATGGCAAGATATCCTGTGAAGAGCTTGGATGTGTACTCAGGTCACTCGGTCACGATTATACGCAACCGGAAGTAGAAGAGATGATAAAAAATGCCGATAAAAATGGTAAGCAAAAGTGGTGATCAGAAACGCGTTCATCGTCTACCTGGTCTTAAGTTCGCGAAAAAACGCTTCAACTACTAGTAGTTGCAACATTTGGTCGTACTTCTTCGTATACTTTGGTATTAACCAGTTCAGTTTCCTAATTCTACATTCTCGTCCACTATTGATGAAATATTTTCAACGAAGAAAAAACTTATTTCTTTTTCAATAATAGTGTTCCCAGAGAGGAAAAATGAAGTATTACTTTCAAACTATATGAGCAGCCTCGTTATGTAAAAATACGCGGAATCTGTTCTAAACGGTCCTTAACTCTGGTATCAGTTTGTTGAAAGGAGACTGTGTTATTTTAAAACTTCTATATTTATTCCTAATCTTCGTGTTATATTATGAACTATTCCTGGGTTTGAAGAAATGGTGTGGTCTTACTTGACGCTCCGACCATCCACAGCAAGGAAGACAGTATCAATAATTAAAGCCCATTCTAAAAGCGTTCTCGTCCTCGTCTGTGTGAATAGCATGGGCCTGTCCAGACCAACGCTTCCAGTCATTTACAATCACCAGATGGGATTACTTTGGCTTGCGGAGTAATCTCTGCTCGTGTGAAACTCACCTTGCACAGTCACGGAACCTGCCGCGCGAAAAAAAAGAACGGGGCTACATTAAGTCAGCTGACTGAGTGCCTGATCGGGGCGAGACGGTTTGGGAAGTGCTCCAAAAGCAAGGAGTCGTATTCATTGTCTAAGCTGTTGATAAAACACTTATCTTTCGAGATGTAATAAACACAGACGGTACTAGTACTGGTACAGACATATAACGGTGAAATGAAGGGACTGTGCCAAAAGCTTAAAATTATTTTTTTAAATAAGTTCGTTATCCTTAAACATGTGTGTATACCACTCAAAACAAGTTAAAAACCTGGAAGGTTGTAGGCTGTGTGTTGCAATAGCGACCAGCCATGAGAGATTATCCATAGTCATATGAAAAAGATCGATTGATCCTAACTTCTTTTGAGTAGTATTTAATCACTGGGAAAGCCACTTAGACTCTTTGTGACTATTTTTAGTCATCATTGTCATTTTTTTTGCATTATACCTCTTTTCGTTACCAAGCTTGCATTAATTTGTGAACACCATGACCGTGCTCGAGGGTTTCGCCAAAGTCTGCAACGTCTACAAGGTGAAGGGAAATTGAGTTTATTGCATCGCGTCCAAGATTATTGCACTTTTCGCCAGTGCACGGAGGCGGTCGCAACGACTTCGAATTGGGTACATTTGGGCGTTCCCTCACATTATATCAACTTCACTCACTCACTCATTCATTCACTCAATTGTTATCATGTACCGTTGTCGTGAGGAATGCTGTTGAAATGGCTGTACGACTTGTTTTTAATTATAATTTTGAACGGTTATAAAGTATGTCTTTTCCGTTAATATTCTCCAACCTCACACTCTTACGACAAGTGAAGTTGTCGGATCATACTTAAGTGTACAAGCTGTGTACCTCTTAAAGCTCAATTGGCTTGTCGTGGCGCGGGCGTTCATGAGTGATAAGCCCCGACTCCATTGGTCTCGCACGTGCAAGCACGTACAAGGTCACGTGGTGGGCGGTCACGTGGGTGCGTCAGCACATGGGTGATGAGTCTCCCAGGTTGTGTTAATTAAACACCATGTTCGTCAGAGATGTGTGGCGCTCGGTTAACACATGAAACTAATGAGATTAACAGATGTTTTAGGGTATCGTATCTCTCATATTGATGAGAAAATAATAGTGACGGTTAACCCATTGCCAATATATATTAATACCTGTCATCAAAGATGTAGGCCAAAACGTTTTCAGCTTCAATACAATGAACAACGACTGTTTAGAACACCATATGTCGTATCCGTTGATGCATTGATGATGTGAATATTAATTTGCATAAAAACATAGTAATTACATATTATGTGTTAAGGACGAATGGTTATAAGTATAGAAATATTTACTCGTGCGGAACACGGAACACAAGGACACATAAGTGCTTATTATATATTAATATTAATCAATAAACATTTGTCTATTTCCAGAAAACGGTTTTGTAGAATACGACGAATTCCTTATCTTAATGAAGCGCTGGGCGGCCAACCACGCCGCACGCGCAGAAGCAGAGGTGACAGAGGCGGAGGAGAAGACGAAGGAGACCTTTAAAGTGTTCGACATGGACGGTAACGGCTACATCGACAAGCACGAACTGCGGTACGTCATGCGACGTCTCGGGGAGAACCTTGAGGAGGAGGATGTGAAGGCTATGTTCCAGCTGGCCGACCTCAATGGCGATGGCTTGATAGATTTCGACGGTAGGAAATACGATACAGTTCTAATACTTTAATCACATAATAAAAGGCGAATATGTTTGTCGTAAGACGCGACTAACGGAATCGGTTGGTCAGGCTTGCTGACTGGGTTGATGCACGTCATCGTATCCCAATTGCGTGGATCGATGCTCTGGATTGCCTGTTCCAGACTCGATAATTTACAGACCGCCGTCTGAAGATGAAATATTCCTGAGTGCGGCGTTAAGCGGCAAACAAACAAACAGACAAACAAGACTAAATCACATGATAGATGAGGAGGTGGCGGTGGTGTAGCGCAGTTGTTAAAGATTGGACCTTGGTTGATTTCCAACTTGGGTACAATGTATGCTGCTTTTTCTGATGAGGCTAAAGGCGACACTCACTCATTCATTCGATGATAAGATGTATCATTTAGAATGTGTTAAAACTGAGCTATACAACCCAATCATATTGCACAAAGTAAGTGAAATAAAGAACACGTGATTTTTGTCACATGACTATAGTTGGGTTGGCATTGCAGCACACACCTTCCAGTTAACTTGTATGGAATAGTATATTACATGGTTGTTGTTTACGAAGTAGCTCTGTGGGTAGGGTGTTCGCATGTTCCGTGTGTGACCTTGTTGATGGTATGTCATGCTGACCCGACGGCTATAATCATAGTCGTACATGGTGGCGTAAAGCAGTGACACATGACGGAGTTTAGCCGTGGTACATGATGGCGTTTAGCCGTGGTACATGATGGCGTTAAGCCGTGGTACATGATGGCGTTAAGCCGTGGTACATGCGACGTTGAGCCGTGGGACATGATGTCGTTAAGCCGTGGTATATGCGACGTTGAGCCGTGGTACATGATGGCGTTAAGCCGTGGTACATGATGGCGTTAAGCCGTGGTACATGATGGCGTTGAGCCGTGCCGGTACATGCGACGTGGAGCCGTGGTACATGACGTTAAGCCGTGGTACATGACGTTAAGCCGTGGTACATGACGTTAAGCCGATGTGCGTGACGGCTTTAAGCCACGGGACATGAGGACGTTAACCCTGTTACATGAACGCGTTATGCCGATGACATGCCATGACGACGTTAAGCCATGGTTCCTGACTATGGTAAACAAACTCTGGTACATGACGACGTTATGCCGTGGTACACGAGGACGCTAAACCCTGGTGAAGACGTTAAGCAGGACGCTCATACTTTAACACAGACCTATGATAGTTGAAGATGTTATATCAATTTCAGGGACAAAACTAAACTGTTAGGCAATGCATCAGAACAGTAGCTTGTCGTGTACAGTGGGTGTTACATGTGATTTGTAGCTAATGAAGAATATCTGACCATCTGTGTAAATAGCCCTGATATTCCAGTAGATCAAAGGCGAGATTGCACACATCTCTTTCAATACGTAGTGCTACACTGCCACGCTGCAGCCCGCGAGACATGCCGTGAGTCTGATGAAAGCTACATGAAATTGGTTGACTGCATTGGTTATGTTTCATGAGAATATTACGTTTCCTAATTTCATACTCATTCATAACCTTCCATGGATGCTTGGCCAGATAAAACGTGATGTCTGTTTATGGTTTTCAAAAAGTTCCTAAACCATAATACCGTTTGCAGAAACAGTAAAACTCGCCCAATTGGACACTAATGTTTTTTCGAGTCTTCTTTCAACATTATACTTCGGCTCATTGTAAATTGGTGGAGCTTGTTCTCAACAGCGAAACCCAGCCATTAATTTGAGGTTTCTTCGCTTGTAGCATCGAAGAAAATAGCACGATTGATTACGAACACGGGCCCAGGACTGTGCATGATGGGACTGTTATGTTGCTTGTTAGGGGTTTCTTGTCTATAGACCCCTGCCGCCAAACTTGCGTCGAATAGGGAGAAGCTAGAGAATCGCCCCCAAGTGATTATCTAATGACACGATTTCCGCATTAGCCACTATAATCAGTTTTGTTTCAAGGGAGGTTTAGACTACTAAACTGTGTTTTTACCCCAACCGCAATCCCCGTAGAACATGTTTACTAATTGCTCAACCAAGTCTACCAGACCTAAAAACAAGCGAACTATTAATGTATGCGTATTTTCATCGTTTAGATGACTCAGTCTGTCACTGAATGTTGTGATGTCGATCCTGACACAGTGACACCATCACTGATGAGGGGGCACAGGTGGTCCAGTCGTCTTAGGCGCCGCGATTCGCTGTGCAGAGTTGCGTCCCTTGGTCACGCCAGAAACCTATGATTGTGGGTTCGAATCCCGGTTCGCCCCGATTATGTTTCTAGATTTGTTAAACGCCTGAGACCTGCATCGCTTCGGGCTTTCCTCCCACATTAAGCTGGCACGCCGTGATATAACTGGAATAATGTTAAAAGCGGCGTTAAACCCAATTCACTCACTCACTCACCCATCACTGATGTCGAAATAGCGAAATTACTGTGTGCGTAAAGGGAGATAAGCGGGCAAAAACGTCCTCATACCGCCCACTCCCGACCTAATTATGTTTTACCACGGATCCACAGGGACCCACTTACTGAAGGGAGTCGGCTCCTTGTTCCAAAATGATCAATAAAGTGATCAAAGTTGACCTTCTAAATCCAATTTCCCTGGAAGACACACAAGCTCAAGCCAATCATGCAAATTTACCACTTAATGAGTTTGAAACAGTTCATACGCGGTGACAAGGTGGCATGGATGTGGAGTTAACAGATTTTGTCAAACAAAGAAATACATCTTTCCAAATGGCAACATCAAAACCAGCAGCAACAAATTGGTCAGTCCCGAAAAATATACTTACCAAATATGCTCATAAAAAAATATGCGAAAGTGTGTCCTGTGAGTTCATGTCATGGCCACAATAACTCGTGGTTGTGGTAAGAGCAGACAGAAATATTGATACGCGGTCAGTCGATATGTCATGGTATCCCGAAGGTGAAGGACATTGGTCATATTGCCATTCATCAACTGGTATGCCTGACCCAGACTTTTTGTTCACAGGATACCATGATATAACTTAAACTTGCCCACTGTTGCGTAAAACAGACCTAGCAAGAACACGTCACGACGACTGTCTTCAAAGAATGGCTTCATTAATTGTACACGTAGAGAATGGAACGCGTGCAATCGGCTTGAAGAGCCATCGCTTTGACAACATGGTTATCCCATGTAAGTTCAATAACGATGAAAACAAAATGGCTTTTCACCTGTCTGGTGTGTAGTCCGACTCATTTTGTGCCTTGACACTGTGAATAGTTCCGCCGTCCATAAAACCAGCGCTGTGTCTATTCCAACAGTTTCACTTGCTTTAATTATGGCAAGAAGCTCGCGACGCTTGTAAATTAAGGAGTTCAACTAGCTATACGAGAACATGAGCTCATCAAGCTCGTTTTCTTTACACAGGAAGCACTTTTAAACATGACATTTTACTCTTTGAATTGATATTTTAGAGTTTATTTGGCTGTTTGGATTTAACTGTAAATTCAACACGCTATTTGCCACCGTACCAAGATTGTTCCTGGAATTTCATTCACGCGCTCGAAGAACGACGGAAGTTGAATTATGAAATGCAAACATGGTTAAGGCATGTGTCTAGAAGTCTTGAACATAGCCCCTCTGTTGTTGTGACGAAGGGAGTTAAGTTCAGACTTTGGTAGTCTTAGTCTGTTGCCATTTTGGGAATCAAACTCCTACCTACCGTGCTACACCACAAACCCTCACTATACTCTGCGACATTTTCTTTTTGTGCTGGGGGACGGGAGCAGGTGCTCCAGTCGTTTAAGGGACCGTAATTCGCTGAGTGAGTTGCGTTCCTTACACCCTGGGTTCGATTCCCTGTTTCTTGAGTATGTCTCTTGTCGTGCGTGTCGCCAAAGACAGCATCTAATACTGTTCAAAGCGGAGTTAAACCCAACTCACTTATGAAAACACTTATTAATATATTTGTTTTATTATTTTCAGAATTTAACAAACTAATGGGTGGTCTTAGTTTCCCATTGTTTCCAAAGGATGTCGGTTCAGGGGAGGCAACTGCACATAGCTCAAGTCAAGACAGTCAAAAGAAGAAGAAATGAAACGTTCCTTAAAAGAAACATTTAAGTGTTTTCGGTTCTTTTCCCTTGTCCCGCCAAATCTTGAGATGATGTGATACCTTGAAGACTTCCTTCTTAGGCAATAAACAGAGACCATTGGTTCTCTTCTGGGACAAGGTCGAGGTTAAGGAAGAAGGTCAAGGTCATTGGGCCCCTTGTGCACAACAGACAAGGTCACAGTTCACATTCCATCTACCGTATGTTGTTCTCTGTCAAGCACAAAGGATGCACTATTTAGCAAATCACCTTTTTATATATAGTCGGATAACACTTTCACTGAAGAGAATTCCAAAAAGGAATATTTACATTGTTTCCGGGATTGTTGTCTATGTTTAAGCGACAGAGGATGTATTTACCAATGACTCACGGAGCTAGAACTTCCTGCAACGACAGTGCAGCTATAACAAGATGTCCCAGAACTCCTTATTGCAAATGGTGAATATATCATATCCAGTATAATGGGGCCGTCAGTTAATGACGGTCAATCAGAGGACATGTCACGGTTTATGTCGGATTAGACCAGACCAGCGGGAGGAGATGGCCACGGCAGGAACATTCTACCGCCTTGTGTTGAGGACGGCAAAAGACGGAATTATTTATACATGTTTGGGTCCCCTATTGTTCCACTGCTTCGTGAGTGCTCTGGAGAGACGGACGGATATATTATCCATTGTGATAGAATGTGTTTTCTTTCTCGCCTCGTGTTCACAATTTTGTAAACTATACCTTTTTTAGCAATCTCGTACTTTGGATGGTTGTTTTTGCACATTTAAGAAGAGTGATCATATTGTTTGTTATCATGATGAATTCCCCGTTCCCTCCTTCCCCTCCTCCCCGAGAGTAAATATTATTTATTATTTATGATTTCGTATATACATGATGTTCAACCTCTTCATAATGAATGGCAACGTGTTTACGTTTATATGAAATGCTGTAATTATCACTGGCCCGCCCGACACCATCCTTGCTCAGAGCCCGTATGACATCTGGCAATACTCATCACTGATCCTACAATGCCCATCACCTATCACGGCTGTAGCATTTAGGATAGTATATCAACATGGCCTCCATCCCTACGAACTACAAATAGGGCGGTGCGGGGGGCCGGCCGAGAAGGCACAGCGTTCGCCACACAAAAGACCCGGGTAGATTTCCCCGATATGCGTTCACTGCATGCCGCCCTCTATTGGTGTCCGTGGTATTTATGTAATATTGTTAAAGCCGCACCATGTTCACTGAATCCATTTAAGAATTGACTTTAATATGTTTAAGCCTTTATGGAGGTGTGAATGGAAACATCGGTGTTCATATTGTGTAAATCCGCGTAGCTTATTTTCGCAAAGAGTGCACACCGGCGTTAACCTTTATAACTCCATGAAATATAACGCCGCAAATCATATTGAAGACCATCTTTATAAATGAATACGTCAAAAATAATATTTACGTGTACTGATTATTTAATCATTAACACACTAATAATTTCGACAGAATACGGAATCTGTGAAATATTGCTTGGTTACTGCACGGAATCGCTTGCCAGTTATTTATCACCTCAAGCAAAAGTTTCAATCTTTTTACCATTGGATTTCCATCGCTCTTTTGGGGGAAATTTTGAAAGGGATTACTGATTTGATTTAATTGATTTTATTGCGAAAAATCCAAGGAATTAGGCAAAAGTGACACACTTTCGAGGCCTTCTCCTAAAGGGATTCATCACTTCGGGTTTTCCTCCCACGTTAAGATGACACTCCGTGATATAACTGGAATTCTGTTAAAAGCGGCGTTAAACCCAACTCACTCACTCACCCTAAATGGAGAACTCTGAATAATTTTCACGTCTCCAAAGGATTGCAAAAAATGTCAAATCTACTGGTAACGTATATTGTACGAATTACTGCGTCTGTGCAGTTATGTCTCAAATCCGTAACAAAGTGCCATGCATAATTGCAGTACTTGCAGCAAATGGTTAGCCTGGCAATACGTCATGTTGATGTTTGTGCGGAATACAGAAAATATTCTTTTACAACCACGTGTTACTTTTTCTACATCCATCAGTTTCCTTGTTGATGAACTCCAGGTATATCCACATATAAGACGCTTATCAACTTAGTATCAAGTAGCTACTTGGAGTCAGAACACCACTTCGCCATGGACACCACCAATCCACCGTCATCTTCCTCCATGTAGAGGACACATACCCTTTCCTCATCCAAACCAAAGACCACATCCTACCGCGCCCATCAAACAACACCGACAGCTTATCAGCAAGTCGCTTCAGGCAAACTGTATGTCGATCGCATGTAGAATACAATACTGAAAGCATTTACTATGAAAGATAAGCATATTCTTTACATCCAGAATGTCAAACACTGCATACGTAAAGCAACTGCTCAAAAGAAGTGAAGAGCACCCGATTTATATATATATATATATATATAATATATATATATATAATATATATATATAATATATATATATAACTATGGTAATATAGTAACATCAAAGAACCGTGTGTTCTTAACTTCTTTTGAGTAGCATGCATGAACTATATGGTATTTTAGATACGTTGTTAAGTGTTAGCTTCTGACTTAACTGGTATTGGAAAATATGTGTGTATTTGTTTCCTAGCAGTATTAACCCCGGACTGACCGCGTGTTATATATTACCTAAATAGGGTAGGCTTTCATTTTTTTGTCCATGGCAGGTTAACTACTGAAGGCAACTAAACTCGCCTTATTGAGTATTGACAGTGGTATTTGTACCTTTCCATTAGCCTGGGAACATATGGACACACAGTATTAAGAGGTTGAATACATGTTGGTGCACAGACTGGGTCATATCCTACACCTATCGATCTCTTTCTTATATTTGAAATGTTTCGTGATATCTCACCCTGTAAATATGTACATATGTCGTTGTCCAAATAAAAGTTACATTTCCTGAGCTACCGACCTGTCACAACTGAGTTAGTTTTGTTTTCGTTCCTTGTACGCTATTCATCACGGGGGGCACGGATGCCCGAGTCGCCCAATTCGATGTTCAGAGTGGCTTCCTTTGGGTGTGCAAGACATCTAGGGGTCCAATCCCAGGTTCGCCCTGTCAGCACCTTATCCGTGTTCGTGTGTTTCACCAAAGTGGCACACGTCTCAGATCTGCATCGCATGCCGTAATTTAACTGAAATACAGTTCAAAGTGGCATAAACCTAACTCACCCACTAACCCTTTCATTGAATATAGACCGCCTCCGTGGTCCAGTGGTAGAGCGGAAGGTCCGGGGTTCGATCCCAGGCCGCGTTATACCAAAAGACGTTAAAAGATGGTACTTGTTGTTACCCTGTCTGGCGCTCGGCATTAAGGGGCTTAAACAAGGACTGGTCGGCTCGGAGTCAGTATACTGTGTCTGAGTGGGGTATTCATGTTAAACTGCGGCATGGTATCTCAGTGTGCTAGGTCTATAAATCGGCATTAGTCCGGACTAGTACAAGCAGCCACACACACACATACACGTGCGTGCACGTCGCTATATAAGTGCAATAATCTTGGACGCGACGTTAAACCCCATTTCACCTCACCTCACCTCATTCAAAATAAATCACGATTCCTGTTCGACTTACAGTCGACTACCAATCTGAGCAAAATAAATCGATGTCGACTGAAACGTCGAACATGTTGTTTGTTTGTTGTTTAACGCCGCACTCAGCAATATTCCAGCTACATAACGGCGGTCGGTAAATAATCGAGCCTAGACCAGACAATCCAGTGTTTGACATCATGAGCATCGATCTACGCAAGTGGAATACGATGACATGCATCAACCAAGTCAGCGAGTCAGACCACCCGATCCCGTTAGTCGCCTCTTATGACAAGAAAAGTCGCCTCTACGTCTGTTGTGAAACCCACAACAAAATTAATTCGAATATCATATTAGGATACACTGAGAATGGGCTGTCACATATAGTACAGAAGTGGGGAATCTGCCTACACAGTGTAGGGTGAGACAGGCCACCACGTCACGCTCCCCCGCCAACACAGTGTAGAGTGAGAGAGACCAACACATCCCCCTCCCCCTCCCCCGCCCCCGCCTACACAGTGTAGGGTAAGACAGACCAACACATGCCCCCCCCCCCCTCCCCCTCCCCCTCCCCCTCCCCCGCCCCCGTCTACACAGTGTAAGGTGAAACAGACCAACACATCCCCCTTCCCCGCCCCCGCCCCCGCCTACACAGTGTAGGGTGAGACAGACCAACACATCCCCCTCCCCCTCCCCCTCCCCCGCCCCCGCCCCCGTCTACACAGTGTAGGGTGGGACAGACCAACACATCCCCCTTCCCCGCCCCCGCCCCCGTCTACACAGTGTAGGGTGAGACAGACCAACACATCCCCCTCCCCCTCCCCCTCCCCCGCCCCCGCCCCCGCCCCCGTCTACACAGTGTAGGGTGGGACAGACCAACACATCCCCCTTCCCCGCCCCCGCCCCCGTCTACACAGTGTAGGGTGAGACAGACCAACACATCCCCCTCCCCCTCCCCCTCCCCCTCCCCCGCCCCCGCCCCCGTCTACACAGTGTAAGGTGAAACAGACCAACACATCCCCCTTCCCCGCCCCCGCCCCCGTCTACACAGTGTAGGGTGAGACAGACCAACACATCCTCCTTCCCCTCCTCCGCCCCCGCCCCCGCCCCCGCCTACACAGTGTAGGGTGAGACAGACCAACACATGCCCCCTCCCCCTCCCCCTCCCCCTCCCCCGCCCCCGCCCCCGTCTACACAGTGTAAGGTGAAACAGACCAACACATCCCCCTTCCCCGCCCCCGCCCCCGCCTACACAGTGTAGGGTGAAACAGACCAACACATCCCCCTCCCCCTCCCCCTCCCCCGTCTACACAGTGTAGGGTGAGACAGACCAACACATCCCCCTCCCCCTCCCCCTCCCCCTCCCCCGCCCCCGCCCCCGTCTACACAGTGTAAGGTGAAACAGACCAACACATCCCCCTTCCCCGCCCCCGCCCCCGTCTACACAGTGTAGGGTGAGACAGACCAACACATCCTCCTTCCCCTCCTCCGCCCCCGCCCCCGCCCCCGCCTACACAGTGTAGGGTGAGACAGACCAACACATGCCCCCTCCCCCTCCCCCTCCCCCTCCCCCGCCCCCGCCCCCGTCTACACAGTGTAAGGTGAAACAGACCAACACATCCCCCTTCCCCGCCCCCGCCCCCGCCTACACAGTGTAGGGTGAAACAGACCAACACATCCCCCTCCCCCTCCCCCTCCCCCGCCCCCGCCCCCGTCTACACAGTGTAGGGTGAGACAGACCAACACATCCCCCTTCCCCTCCCCCGCCCCCGCCCCCGTCTACACAGTGTAGGGTGAGACAGACCAACACATCCTCCTTCCCCTCCCCCGCCCCCGCCCCCGCCCCCGCCCCCGCCTACACAGTGTAGGGTGAGACAGACCTTCGCCTCACCCTTCCCGTCTACACAGTTTAGAGTCAGACAGACCAACCCGTCGCTCCCCTCCGCCTTCAGCGCTGACATGGACAATTCAAATGGAAACCTTCCTGGAACCGGATCACGCCACTCGCGTCAATATGTACAGTAGCTTGTATTTTGCATCAAGGGACTCATGCGATTGTTTTTAACTGAAACATCGTGACTCACTCCAGTCTAATACATTATATCACACCCACGGCATCTCCAGGCCGTCAAGTACACACGGTGAACGTTAAAGTAGTAATTTTAAAAAAAGAAGCAAGTCTGTGTGTTGGATTAAGATATTTACACTAAGATAGCTCCTCATCACGGTATGCGAGTTCCGCTGTCGGTAATCATGTCGATTAGAGTTCTATATTGGCTTCCTGGAACGATCTTGTCACAATTTTAAGCAGTTTGACAAATATGAATGGCGTCTGTTGCCATGGCATCGATTTCTGCTGTATCATATACAGTCACGAACAATAGGAGGCAATCCGGTCGTCGACTTAAACACGGTACTCAGTTAAATGTCATCCATAATATAACTGGCAAGCAGCATGGCGTATTTGTGTTTCATAAGAAGGGGTGTTTGTTCGCTTGGCTGCCCTTGTCTGATTTATTATGATGATGAAATTGTGAAAACATTATCGCTTGGTGGCATACAACGGGTTTCGTGTCTCAACGTGCGAGCTTTACTGGGCCCTTTTGAAAAATAGCTAGATTATGTATGCGAGTTGATGAGGATGAAATGTTGTCATATTTGTGGATGAAATACATGAATTGGTGCAAATGAAAAACGTTGATATGGTCATCAAACCATTGATTTCGCGAAAACGTTCAAATTCTTGACCCGTTTCCTTGTGTACTCGTGAGTGTTGACATGACAACCGTGACAAATTTGTGTTTTCATTATTAAAACGCTTAAAAAGTGTAGGAAAAATATTGATAAAAAATTAGCCCGCATGGAGAAATATATGTCTTGAATACCACCCGCAAGGAGAAATGTATGTCCTGGATACAGCCCATATGGAGAAATGTATGTCCTGGATACAGCCCGCGTGGAGAAATGTATGTCTTGGATACAGCCCGCAAGGAGAAATGTATGTCCTGGATACAGCCCGCAAGGAGAAATGTATGTCCTGGATACAGCCCGCAAGGAGAAATGTATGTCCTGGATACAGCCCGCAAGGAGAAATGTATGTCCTGGATACAGCCCGCGTGGAGAAATGTATGTCCTGGATACAGCCCGCGTGGAGAAATGTATGTCCTGGATACAGCCCGCGTGGAGAAATGTATGTCCTGGATACAGCCCGCAAGGAGAAATGTATGTCCTGGATACAGCCCGCGTGGAGAAATGTATGTCCTGGATACAGCCCGCGTGGAGAAATGTATGTCCTGGATACAGCCCGCGTGGAGAAATGTATGTCTTGGAAACAGCCCATATGGATAAATGTATGTCCTGGATACAGCCCGCGTGGAGAAATATATGTTTTGGAACAGCTAGCATGGAGAAATATTTGTTTTGGATACAACCCGCATGGAAAAATGTATGTCTTGGATACAGCCCGCGTGGATAAATGTATGTCCTGGATACAGCCCGCATGGAGAAATATATGTTTTGGAACAGCTAGCATGGAGAAATATTTGTTTTGGATACAACCCGCATGGAAAAATGTATGTCTTGGATACAGCCCGCATGGAAAAATGTATGTCCTGGATACAGCCCGCATGGAAAAATGTATGACTTGGATACAGCCCGCATGGAGAAATGTATGTCTTGGATACAGCCCGCATGGAGAAATGTATGTCCTGGATACAGCCCGCATGGAAAAATGTATGTCTTGAATACGACCCGCAAGGAGAAATGTATGTCCTGGATACAGCCCGCGTGGAGAAATGTATGTCCTGGATACAGCCCGAATGGAGAAATGTATGTCTTGGAAACAGCCCGCATGGAAAAATGTATGTCTTGGAAACAGCTAGCATGGAGATATATTTGTTTTGGATACAACCCGCATGTAGAAATATATGTCTTGGAAACAGCTAGCATGGAGAAATATATGTCTTGGAAACAGCTAGCATGGAGAAATATATGTCTTGGAAACAGCTAGCATGGAGAAATGTATGTCTTGGATACAGCCCGCATGGAAAAATGTATGTCTTGGATACAGCCCGCAACGGAAAATGTATGTCTTGGATACAGCCCGCAACGGAAAATGTATGCCTTGGATACAGCCCGCAACGGGAAATGGATAGAGCCTGCATGGGAAAATGGATGTCATAGACACAACCCGCATTGAGAAATATATGTCTTGGACACCGTTCACATTGAGAAATGGTGATGTTTCGTGGAATGGGGAAATTTTATGGTGCTAGCCCACTGCGATATCATGCCGGTGTTTAATATACAACCCCACTCAGACACAGTATACTGACTCAGATCGGAACATTCTATGTTTAAGTCCCTTAATGCTGAGCGCCAGGCAGGGTAACAACACGTACCATCATTTACCGTCTTTTGGTATTACGCGGCTGGGAATCGAACCACCGACCTTCCGCCCCACGGGCAGATGCTCTTTCCACTAGACCACGGTGGCGGTATGGAAAAATGTATGTCTTGGATACTTGCCAATTGTTATGTAATGTCTGTATTGCCCTTTTCCTCCGCACTGAAGTGTGAGCATCTAAAATGAGTTTCCAGGAAATTACCTCCCGCCTCCGCTCTCCAGGCACAAAGATCCGTTTCCATGGTCGCCGTCTGTTTGCTACTCAAAGTAGGTCTATGGAGCACTCAATATCACGAAGTTGTCACGTCACATACAACGTCTATGTAGATATTGGCATTGCCAGCAAAGGTTGTGTCACGTGATATACAATGTCTATGTAGATTATGTCATCTCCAAAGCAATAACTACGTGTCAGAGTGTCATGTCTAATGCAATAACTACGTGTCAGAGTGTCATGTCTAAAGCAATAACTACGTGTCGGAGTGTCATGTCTAATGCTATAACTACGTGTCGGAGTGTCATGTCCAATGCTATAACTACGTGTCGGAGTGTCATGTCTAATGCTATAACTACGTGTCGGAGTGTCATGTCTAATGCTATAACTACGTGTCGGAGTGTCATGTCTAATGCTATAACTACGTGTCGGAGTGTCATGTCTAATGCTATAACTACATGTCGGAGTGTCATGTCTAATGCTATAACTACGTGTCGGAGTGTCATGTCTAATGCTATAACTACATGTCGGAGTGTCATGTCTAATGCAATAACTACATGACGGAGTGTCATGTCTAATGCAACAACTACATGACGGAGTGTCATGTCTAATGCAATAACTACGTGTCAGAGCGTCATGTCTCATGCAAAAACTACGTGTCAGAGTTCCATGTCTAATGCAACAACTACGTGTCAGAGTGTCATGTCTAATGCAATAACTACGTGTCAGAGTGTCATGTCTAATGCAATAACTACGTGTCAGTGTTCCATGTCTATAGCAATAATTTCGTTTCAGAGTGTCTAACTACATACCAGAGTGCCATATCTAAAGCAATAACTACATGACGGAGTGTCATGTCTAATGCTATAACTACATGTCGGAGCGTCATGTCTAATGCTATAACTACGTGTCGGAGTGTCATGTCTAATGCAATAACTACATGACGGAGTGTCATGTCTAATGCTATAACTACGTGTCGGAGTGTCATGTCTAATGCAATAACTACATGACGGAGTGTCATGTCTAATGCAATAACTACATGTCGGAGTGTCATGTCTAATGCTATAACTACGTGTCGGAGTGTCATGTCTAATGCAATAACTACATGACGGAGTGTCATGTCTAATGCAATAACTACATGTCGGAGTGTCATGTCTAAAGCAATAACTACGTGTCAGAGTTCCATGTCTATAGCAATAATTTCGTGTCAGAGTGTCATGTCTCATGTCATAACTACGTTTCAAAATGTCATGTCTAAAGCAATAACTACGTGTCAGAGTGTCAGGTCTAAAGCAATAACTACGTGTCAGAGTGTCATGCCTAATGCAATAACTACGTGTCAGAGTGTCATGCCTAATGCAATAACTACGTGTCAGAGTGTCATGTCTAATGCAATAACTACGCGTCAGAGTGTCATGTCTAAAGCAATAACTACGTGTCAGAGTTCCATGTCTATAGCAATAATTTCGTGTCAGAGTGTCATGTCTCATGTCATAACTACGTTTCAAAATGTCATGTCTAAAGCAATAACTACGTGTCAGAGTGTCAGGTCTAAAGCAATAACTACGTGTCAGAGTGTCATGCCTAATGCAATAACTACGCGTCAGAGTGTCATGCCTAATGCAATAACTACGTGTCAGAGTGTCATGTCTAATGCAATGACTACGTGTCAGAGTGTCATGTCTTATGCAATAACTACGTGTCAGAGTGTCATGTCTAATGCAATAACTACGTGTCGGAGTGTCATGACTAATGCAATAACTACGTGTCAGAGTGTCATGTCTAATGCAATAACTACGTGTCAGAGTGTCATGTCTAATGCAATAACTACGTGGTGGGTGGGAAGATGTGTGGAAGTAGATGTGAAGTCTTCAGGAGAAGATGTGTGGAAGGAGATGTGAAGTCGTTCAGGTGATTATGTGTGGAAGGAGATGTGAAGTCGTTCAGGTGATTATGTGTGGAAGTAGATGTGAAGTCGTTCAGGAGATTATGTGTGGAAGTAGATGTGAAATCGTGGATGGGAGGATGTGTGGAAGTAGATGTGAAGTCGTTCAGGAGATTATGTGTGGAAGTAGATGTGAAATCGTGGATGGGAGGATGTGTGGAAGGAGATGTGAAGTCGTTCAGGTGATTATGTGTGGAAGTAGATGTGAAGTCGTTCAGGAGATTATGTGTGGAAGTAGATGTGAAATCGTGGATGGGAGGATGTGTGGAAGTAGATGTGAAGTCGTTCAGGAGATTATGTGTGGAAGTAGATGTGAAATCGTGGATGGGAGGATGTGTGGAAGGAGATGTGAAGTCGTTCAGGTGATTATGTGTGGAAGTAGATGTGAAGTCGTTCAGGAGATTATGTGTGGAAGTAGATGTGAAATCGTGGATGGGAGGATGTGTGGAAGTAGATGTGAAGTCGTTCAGGAGATTATGTGTGGAAGTAGATGTGAAATCGTGGATGGGAGGATGTGTAGAAGGAGATGTGAAGTCGTTCAGGTGATTATGTGTGGAAGTAGATGTGATGTCGTTCAGGAGATTATGTGTGAAAGTAGATGTGAAGTTCAGGAGATTATGTGTGGAAGTAGATGTGAAGTCGTTCAGGAGATTATGTGTGGAAGTAGATGTGAAGTTCAGGAGATTATGTGTGGAAGTAGATGTGAAGTCGTTCAGGAGATTATGTGTGGAAGTAAATGTGAAATCGTCCAGGAGATGATGTGTGGAAGGAGATGTGAAGTCGTTCAGGAGATTATGTGTGGAAGAAGATGTAAAGTCGTGGATGGGAGGATGTGTGGAAGTAGATGTGAAATCGTTCAGGAGATGATGTGTGGAAGTAGATGTGAAGTCGTTCAGGAGATGATGTGTGGAAGTAGATGTGAAGTCGTGGATGGGAGGATGTGTGGAAGTAGATGTGAAGTCGTTCAGGAGATGATGTGTGGAAGCAGATGTGAAGTCGTGGATGGGAAGATATGTGGAAGTACATGTGAAGTCGTTCAGGAGATGATGTGTGGAAGTAGATGTGAAGTCGTTCAGGAGATGATGTGTGGAAGTAGATGTGAAGTCGTTCAGGAGATGATGTGTGGAAGTAGATGTGAAGTCTTCAGGAGAAGATGTGTGGAAGTAGATGTGAAGTCGTTCAGGAGAAGATGTGTGGAAGTAGATGTGAAATCGTGGATGGGAGGATGTGTGGAAGTAGATGTGAAGTCGTTCAGGAGATTATGTGTGGAAGTAGATGTGAAATCGTGGATGGGAGGATGTGTGGAAGGAGATGTGAAGTCGTTCAGGTGATTATGTGTGGAAGTAGATGTGAAGTCGTTCAGGAGATTATGTGTGGAAGTAGATGTGAAATCGTGGATGGGAGGATGTGTGGAAGTAGATGTGAAGTCGTTCAGGAGATTATGTGTGGAAGTAGATGTGAAATCGTGGATGGGAGGATGTGTGGAAGGAGATGTGAAGTCGTTCAGGTGATTATGTGTGGAAGTAGATGTGAAGTCGTTCAGGAGATTATGTGTGGAAGTAGATGTGAAATCGTGGATGGGAGGATGTGTGGAAGTAGATGTGAAGTCGTTCAGGAGATTATGTGTGGAAGTAGATGTGAAATCGTGGATGGGAGGATGTGTAGAAGGAGATGTGAAGTCGTTCAGGTGATTATGTGTGGAAGTAGATGTGATGTCGTTCAGGAGATTATGTGTGAAAGTAGATGTGAAGTTCAGGAGATTATGTGTGGAAGTAGATGTGAAGTCGTTCAGGAGATTATGTGTGGAAGTAGATGTGAAGTTCAGGAGATTATGTGTGGAAGTAGATGTGAAGTCGTTCAGGAGATTATGTGTGGAAGTAAATGTGAAATCGTCCAGGAGATGATGTGTGGAAGTAGATGTGAAGTCGTTCAGGAGATTATGTGTGGAAGAAGATGTAAAGTCGTGGATGGGAGGATGTGTGGAAGTAGATGTGAAATCGTTCAGGAGATGATGTGTGGAAGTAGATGTGAAGTCGTTCAGGAGATGATATGTGGAAGTAGATGTGAAGTCGTGGATGGGAGGATGTGTGGAAGTAGATGTGAAGTCGTTCAGGAGATGATGTGTGGAAGCAGATGTGAAGTCGTGGATGGGAAGATATGTGGAAGTACATGTGAAGTCGTTCAGGAGATGATGTGTGGAAGTAGATGTGAAGTCGTTCAGGAGATGATGTGTGGAAGTAGATGTGAAGTCGTTCAGGAGATGATGTGTGGAAGTAGATGTGAAGTCTTCAGGAGAAGATGTGTGGAAGTAGATGTGAAGTCGTTCAGGAGAAGATGTGTGGAAGTAGATGTGAAGTCGTTCAGGAGATTATGTGTGGAAGTAGATGTGAAATCGTGGATGGGAGGATGTGTGGAAGGAGATGTGAAGTCGTTCAGGTGATTATGTGTGGAAGTAGATGTGAAGTCGTTCAGGAGATTATGTGTGGAAGTAGATGTGAAATCGTGGATGGGAGGATGTGTGGAAGTAGATGTGAAGTCGTTCAGGAGATTATGTGTGGAAGTAGATGTGAAATCGTGGATGGGAGGATGTGTAGAAGGAGATGTGAAGTCGTTCAGGTGATTATGTGTGGAAGTAGATGTGATGTCGTTCAGGAGATTATGTGTGAAAGTAGATGTGAAGTTCAGGAGATTATGTGTGGAAGTAGATGTGAAGTCGTTCAGGAGATTATGTGTGGAAGTAGATGTGAAGTTCAGGAGATTATGTGTGGAAGTAGATGTGAAGTCGTTCAGGAGATTATGTGTGGAAGTAAATGTGAAATCGTCCAGGAGATGATGTGTGGAAGTAGATGTGAAGTCGTTCAGGAGATTATGTGTGGAAGAAGATGTAAAGTCGTGGATGGGAGGATGTGTGGAAGTAGATGTGAAATCGTTCAGGAGATGATGTGTGGAAGTAGATGTGAAGTCGTTCAGGAGATGATGTGTGGAAGTAGATGTGAAGTCGTGGATGGGAGGATGTGTGGAAGTAGATGTGAAGTCGTTCAGGAGATGATGTGTGGAAGCAGATGTGAAGTCGTGGATGGGAAGATATGTGGAAGTACATGTGAAGTCGTTCAGGAGATGATGTGTGGAAGTAGATGTGAAGTCGTTCAGGAGATGATGTGTGGAAGTAGATGTGAAGTCGTTCAGGAGATGATGTGTGGAAGTAGATGTGAAGTCTTCAGGAGAAGATGTGTGGAAGTAGATGTGAAGTCGTTCAGGAGAAGATGTGTGGAAGTAGATGTGAAGTCGTTCAGGAGATGATGTGTGGAAGTAGATGTGAAGTCGTTCAGGAGAAGATGTGTGGAAGTAGATGTGAAGTCGTTCAGGAGATGATGTGTGGAAGTAGATGTGAAGTCGTTCAGGAGAAGGTGTGTGGAAGTAGATGTGAAGTCGTTCAGGAGAAGATGTGTGGAAGTAGATGTGAAGTCGTTCAGGAGATGATGTGTGGAAGTAGATGAGAAGTCGTGGATGGGAGGATGTGTGGAAGTAGATGTGAAGTCGTTCAGGAGATGATGTGTGGAAAGGGATGTGAAGTCGTTCAGGAGATTATGTGTGGAAGTAGATGTGAAATCGTGGATGGGAGGATGTGTGGAAAGGGATGTGAAATCGTTCAGGAGATGATGTGTGGAAGTAGATGTGAAGTCGTGGTTGGGAGGATGTGTGGAAAGGGATGTGAAGTCGTTCAGGAGATGATGTGTGGAAGTAGATGTGAAGTCGTTCAGGAGATGATGTGTGGAAGTAGATGTGAAGTCGTGGATGGGAGGATGTGTAGAAAGGGATGTGAAGTCGTGGATGGGAGGATGTGTTGAAGTAGATGTGAAGTCGTTCAGGAGATGATGTTTGGAAGTAGTTGTGAAGTCGTGGATGGGAGGATGTGTGGAAAGGGATGTGAAGTCGTTCAGGTGATGATGTGTGGAAGTAGATGTGAAGTCGTGGATGGGAGGATGTGTTGAAAGGGATGTGAAGTCGTGGATGGGAGGATGTGTGGAAAGGGATGTGAAGTCGTGGATGGGAGGATGTGTTGAAGTAGATGTGAAGTCGTTCAGGAGATGATGTGTGGAAGTAGTTGTGAAGTCGTGGATGGGAGGATGTGTGGAAGTGGATGTGAAGTCGTGGATGGGAGGATGTGGGGAAGCATGACCACGTGCTTATAACCGTTGATTGAGCAATTGTATCAAAGAATATATATTAAATATTCTTAATATGATAGTGATAATGAAAACGTTAACCATAGAATGAAACAAATAATGGTCATCCATTTCTTTTTCTAGTACTGTCATCCATATGTTAGTCTGGGAGATCATGCTACTTATAATACTAGCAATGCTGTTCGTATCTGACATGATCAATGAAATGAACAACAGTACGCATTGTCGACTTAAGATGGAATGAAATCCTTAAGCGCCCCAAGCGTACTACCTTGATGGGACCCACGAGTATAGTGCTGCAATACGATTATAATCGAGGCGAAACTGCTTTTCTATCCATTGATCAGAGATCCTGCCACGGCTAAGGGACGCAACTCCGCAGTGTATTTAAGCACTGGGCCACCTAAACCTATAGGAGCACACCATGGATCTATATCAATTTTAGACGTTCTAAATTTACAAGCAACGTTTATTTTTGTACCTGTAAATTAATGCAAACACTCCCAAACAGATGTTCCCCCGCACAATAAAACAACGTTCAACTTGTCTGTTATACTTATTTAACAGCAGACACATAATAAATTAACATGGAGGTTTGGGAACACCCCATGCAGAAAAAGATAAGCGATGTTCCCTACATACAAACAACACTGACGTACTTTAAACACCATATGTACCCTGAGCAGGGTCTATTGAGGTGGAAACTACATCACAAATACTACGTGTCTATTTCCAGAGCACACGGGACATAAAACAAGGCTGCGCTTGGTAAAACTGTTAAGGAAGAACTTGACAAGAATTTTCTATTTTTATTGCTGTGTTTCTCATCTCGCTCATTTATTTTACTTCTTACCGACTCTCAAAGTTAATAATATCGTTGATTCAATGTCACTGTTTTAGTTATGGAGGTATTCCCTACCATTGACCCATAGTTGGTTGGTTGGTTGTTTAACGCTGCACTCAGCAATATTCCAGCTATATGACCGCGGTCTGTTAATAATTGAGCCCGGACCAGACAATCCAGTGATTAATATCATGAGCATCGATCCATGTAATTGGGATCGATGACATGCATCAACCAAGTCAGCGAGCCTGACCACCCGATCCCGTTAGTCGCCTCTTACGACAAGCATAGTCACCTTTTACGGCAATCATGGGTTGCTGAAGACCTATTCTACCCCGGATCTTCACGGGCCTGGCCCATAGTAGTGACTTAATATTAGATGTATGTTTGACAGCCAATTTATTTGGTATATTAAAATTAGGGGATTCCGAAGAACAAATAATTCATATAATGACGCAAAATGATTTTTGTTTTAATTTCTGTGAAAACATTTAGATAGGTGATGTTGATGTATAAATTGGATCAATCAAAATAAAGTTCTTTCTGATATGTGCCTTTCTGGGACAAGTGAGCTTAAACTTGTCGCTGAAACAGGTGATGCCCAAGCGATATAATACTCATGCAAAACAACATGCAAAAAACTGTTTCTTATATACCATGACGTCATCATTACGTCAGTGTTGACTTTAAGAAACAACCGGATGTCGTTGATAAAGTGTCGTCTGATTTTTTTCTGAAAGGTTCAGCGCTTGATGCATTTGCAAGGAAGATTTTCAAAGTAAACAGACTACAGTATTTAGTTAGTTTCCAAATACCATGTTAACTTTGTCACGTGGCATAGCGCCACTCGTCCTTGTAGTCTGGTGACAACAATAAAAGTTGAAGCGCCACTGAATCCACATTCAACTAAATATAGACTTCAATATGGCTTGTGTTTTTAGAGGTATATATTATGTATCCAGTGTGTCATGATCACTTGCATTTTTTTTTTAATTCATTCTTTATTTTTTTTAAATGTATGATGGTTTATACTCAACGTGACGTTGATCTAATTCTTACTGCAGGCACTCTTATCTAAAGCACTCACTTATAAACGTCACAGTAAACATCGTAGATCATTCACATGTATTTAGGCCTTGTTTTATGTTCATTTACGCTGCGAGTTTATATGTCTAGCCCTTTGAAAGGGTTAAACGTGTTTGGGTGAATGTTTTACCTTCTAAGCCTACATCGTACTTTCATAAGGCAAACCATCCTAGAGTCGTAGACTGCCGCCATGCGAACGGAAAGTCCATTAAATCTTGACATAACTCACATCTTCTTTAGATGCTACTCCATCATGTCTCTTTCGGAGAACAGAAGCATCTCAACACACAATGCGATGACGTCGCGAAGCAGGTGTCTGTCCTAGTGCCCCTCTTTAACGTCTGAGAATGTGAAAACAGTTGGTGTTTAACTTTAGGAATGATCTCGTTGTTTTCTCCTCCCTGCACTTGGCGGTGCCGGATCTCGCTGGCCCTCTCTTTACCATGGCTGTTATATAGCAAACAATTGAATTACCAGGAACGTCGTGCTCACAGCGGGCAAAGCATTTGTCTCTTCTTTTTTTTTGTTCGCTGTAGAAATCGTTTTCTAACATTTCACATGCTGGCTCGAATGTTTTTGTCTAAAGCGGAAAATCATATTAATATGTGTTTTATGTAACAGATGTGGGACAAGTGACACTGTTTTTCATCCCCAAAGACACTTAAACCCATATCTCGTTTACACAATTCCAGAATATAATTCTTATGACGTTGGAATCTGAAGAATTACCTGATAATGATATCTGAAGTTTATGATGACACGACCAATGGGCCGGATCACTCAGTCTCCTTTGGCAGGGCATTGCCTCTCTAACGCTATGCAAGGCGTCTAAGCACTTACAGAAACCCGTGCGTAGGAGTGTCCAGATGGTGAGGCTAACCATGTGACACGGAGGTAACGGTGTCATGATGACAGAAAGGTTTTGTTGTCAATTTGACATGAACTTGATATTAACAATGTGCACTGAAGGTAATTGCGTCTATTTGTCCTGTAGGTTATGGTGTCCGTATGTCCTGAAGGTAATGTTGTCTAAATGTCCTGAAAGTAATGGTGTCTATGTCCTGAAGGTGATGTTGTCTAAATGTCCTGAAGGCGATGGTCTCCATAGGTCCTGAAGGTAATGGTACTGATATATCCTGAAGGTAATGGTGTCTATATGTCCTGGAGGAAATGGTGTGCCTATGTCCTGTAGCTTATGCTGTTGATATTTCCTGAATAAATTGTGTCTCTATGTCTTGAAGGTTATGGTGTCTAAATGTCCTGAATGTAATAGTATCTCTATGTCCTGCAGGTAATGGTGACAGTGTGTACCGTGTGTGTTATAAGAATATTGTGCCAAGCTCAAACCGACTCACTGAACGCTTAACCTATATACGTTCATCTATCAAAAAGGGAATGGTACGGTATCAATCTTTGTTAAAACTACTTTGTTATTGAAGGCAGCCATAAATTGTATGTGCAACCTATTTAGCTGGCATATACATGTACGATTATGGAAGCCTGTTATCTCTGGTATAAAACAAGACAGACACTTTGTAGCAGCTGTCTCGGGAGGCAGCAAAACGATCATGTAACAATACGTGAAGCCGATTGCTGATATCCATGACAATTCATGAAAGAAGTGTTGTTTCATGTGGATAAGAAAGAGGACTTTTATGAGGCTAATGACATCAATCCAAACTTTCTTATCTTCACAAAACACGTCTTGGTGTTGGCACTGTTCGGTATAATTACCCACCTTGTTCATAAATCATTTCTGTTTTTTGACGTCATTGCACGCTACAGCATACATCTTCCTGTGTTTATGGGTCAGAATCGGCTTGTCTCGCTCATTAAACTTTCACAATAATGTGGTTCGTTAGAAAGGAACTTGTGAATTTCTGAAAAAAAGTAAATAACTTTCAGTAAAAGTAAACTGGGTGTGTTCAAGCATGGTATTTCCGCACAATAGCATAACTGTAAACACGGTGATTGATTCTGAAAAAAATAGTCGTAACACGAATCGTTTAGAACCAAAAGCTTTACACAGTACCTTGTTACGTTTAGAGGAAGCGGCACCGTAGTAGCTGTCTGTTTTTTTCACGTCGGTGGTGTAGGGTCGAGATGGTTCTGTGTCTACCGTACCAGGACAGGATTGTCACGGTGCTGTGTCTACCGTACTAGGGCAGGATTGTCACGGTTGTGTGTAGGTACCGTAGTAGGACAGGATTGTCACGGTGGTGTGTCTACCGTACCAGGTGTAGGGTCACGATGGTTCTGTGTCTACCGTACCAGGACAGGATTGTCACGGTGCTGTGTCTACCGTACCAGGTGTAGGGTCACGATGGTTCTGTGTCTACCGTACTAGGGCAGGATTGTCACGGTTGTGTGTA